GCAGCGGCACGCAGGGATGAGCGGGGAAGCGAGGCACTGACATCCCGGGGTAAGCGGGGAGCCGCCGTGCCAACACCCACATCCCGGGATGCTGCTGGGACCCAGGGCGCAGGGACACTCCACGTCCCTCTGCGGACGGGTGTAGGGGAGTCCCTCTCCCCGGAGCTGCATCTCTCCCTCCCCACGGAACGGAGCGTGGTGCGGGATTCCCTCCGGAGAGCTGTGCACCCGCTGCGTGAGACCTGGGAGCGGAGGCTGGCACAGGGCAGGGATCATCTGCAGCCGGCGCTGGGCTGCCCGCTGGCAGCAGACAGCCGAGCTGTTGGTAATCACCCCCTCCTGCACCCTGAGGAGAGTGGGGAGTCCCCCCGTCATCTCCATCCCCAGCCCTGGGCATTTTGGTGGCCTCTCATCGTACAGCAGCAGCTTACGCTCCGTTTGCAGGGAGCAGCCAGCAGTGGGAATCCCCTTTCCATCCTCCCCACTGCCCGCCTGGCAAACCCCCCACCGCTCGAGGCTTGGTCTTCAGCATATTCAGGCTGATGCGTGCAGGGACGCTCAGAGACGGGGACGGGGCTCTGCAGGGGCAATTTTGGATGACCCAGCGCGTGGGGCACCACCCTGCAGGAGCTGGGAGGTCACCCAGCCCCAGCACCCCCTCAGGTGCCCAGCAGGGGACCCCCGGCCCCACCCCGGCCCCATGGACATCCCGCACAGGATCTCCTCAGTGGTTTACAGCCACCACTCTGGCACACCTGGGACGTGCAGAGTCACAAGCCCGGGCTGACAAGGCATTTAGGTCTGGGCTACAGGGCAAAGGATAAAGGATTCCTCCTCCTCTACGAATTTCTAATGATTCCTCTGAGCCACACAACTCCCTGCTGGGAAGCCTCACTGAGCTGTAAGTACAGGGGTTTTTATTTGAGCTGTTAATCTAAATCCATTGTACCTGGCTGGAAAAGCCCCTGTGTGCAATACTCCCTGCACTTGCTGCCTCCTTGCTTGAATGTCTATTAGCACCTTCCTTCCCACTCCCTTGGGTCCCCTCTGACAGGTAGAATACATATACATAACTTCCATTTGAAAGCCTTTGAGAAAAAAAATATGTTGTCAAGGGAAACTCTTCCAGCATTTCTTATAGATATGCTTGATCTGTTTTTGTATTTTTTTTACTGTCAGAAATGCATGTATCAGACATTTTTCTTCTCCACAACACAGATATTCAATTGAATGCCCAACACCCAGCTCACACTGGGCTTGTATAATTCTGATGGTTGTCTCAAAATAGCTTACAATACATTTCAACATTTATCAGAGAGAGACTGGCTTTATCTGTTCCATTTTTCCAATCATTCGTGGAAATTTTGGGTTAACTAAAGGAAAATTTTGCAAATTCACTTTATTCCAGACAGACATATTTGTATTCTCTCTCCGTTGTGCTTTAAAATAAAAAATCACCCAACCTTCCTAATGTGAGCTTCTGTTTCCCACCTGATAGCCCTGCAAATGTGAGTGGGGAACACACTTTGTTGATCCAACGGGGGACATCACGCCCTGTCTCAGTTCAAACCCTAGTTTTGTTCTAAAGCTGAGCTTAGCTGGTCGTGAAACAAGTAGGCAACAGAGTTATAAAACTATTAATTGCTGCTTTAGGTTCCTAGATGAAAGCTGTATGTGGGCAGAAATAATTTGTTCTATTCAGAAGTGAACATCAGAAAGGAGCGTCTGTGGTGGTTCGTGACCCTTCTCCTCACTCTGCTTCTGGCACAGGAGCGATGGAGGGATTTCCCTGGAGTACAAAGGCTTGCAGGGTGCTGGCACCCACCTTTTCCTTTTGAGCTGGGAGAGAGGTGGGAGCCAGCTCCCTCCTGGCCCCCAGGGTTTGGCAGGGCTCACCCAGAGCCACAGCTGTGCACTGGGGATGGTCCTGCTGAGCTGGAGCATCACTCTGGGCTTGTCCTGCTGTCCTGGGCTGCCCTGCGCCTCAAAAACACCTTGCCTTTGATTTTGGTGGCATTTGGCCTGACCTCACAGAGTGGCTGCTCTATAGGGAGAGTGGGGAGAGTCTGAGGCTGGTTTGGGGACAAGCTGGATCCCACAGAGGCACTCCCAGGGCCCTGTCTGTGTGTGTTTGTAGCCTGGATGCATGAGCATCCTTCTGGAAGGAAGCTGGATTAGTCATCCACACCCCACAGATGGGCTGTGTGATGTCTTCTTTGGAAAAGCTAATCTGCCACTGAAATTCCAGTTTATCCCTGAAAAAGAGTGTTTACATCCCTTTTTCTCCCTTGCTTTTTTCTTAAGCATTGAAAGAGTTGATCCTTCTCCTTCTTCCCTCCCCTTTCAAGACAATGAGTCCATTAAGCTCTGAGGTTTATCACGAGCTGGTTGCCTCCTCCAGACGTCAAAGCTGTGTCTTTAAGGAGCCCTGGCTGGGAGGTGCAGTGGAGGTAGCAGATACCTCTGCCAGGCTATTTCACACAAATCTGCCATTTGCTGCACCCACAGCCCCGCTCTGCTTAAAAACAAACCTCTGGGGTTTAACCACTACTCCGTTACCTGTCGCTAAAAGTTTGAAAAAGTCTGTGGGTGACACAAGGCAGGAAAAATGTAATTCCTCAACCAAGAGAGCAAAGCAGTGTCCCTCAACACCCACCACCCCATGCCAGGAGCAGGGGGACCCCATGAACACAGGGCTGCTCTGTGCATCCCCAGGTGTTCTGATGAATAAGAAAGGTGAAAAAATCTGTTTTCAAGGTGATGCAGAAAGATCACAAACCTTTTATTTGCCTTTTTTTGCTCCTAGTCAAGACAGGTGAATGCATCTGAAGTGTGGGAATGATTCTCTTTCTTAGATGCTTTAACTGCTTCTCATTAGAAAATGGAATTTCTGCTGCACAGAAAAGCCCAGCTCCCTGAAACTTATAAATTCCTAAAACACAGCAGAAATCAAAACTTTGGGTTTTTATTTCCCCGCTGACATACAGATTCAGTCATCGATGATTCTGAATAATGCTTTTGTTATGTTTCAACATTATAGAAATAATATTAGTATTTTACATGACAGAACACACAGGAGGAAACAAAACAGGCGGTTAAATTGTTTTGACACTTCTTCCTCTGAAATCCTCCCTAAAACTGACACCTTCTCTGACAATACTTTGATTTTGGCAAAACTGCCTGTGCTGCTGGGAGAATTGCACCATCTGAGGACTTTTTGACCGGGTCTAATTAGCAGCGTAGGTAGTGGGGCTACAAAGCACTTTGGCAGAATCACAGCAGCGGTGATTTGATGAGATCTAATTTTTCCTCAGGGATGCTCTTTGGGGGATAAATCCTCTCTTCAGTGACTAATTACCTGTTTGAACAAGGAGAGCCCCATGGAGGAGGTGCTGGAGGTGCAGTAAACTGCCTTCTTTAGGCATTAACGACCTGCAAAGGGAGAAACTTTCAGAGGTAAACAAAGCAAGGAAAAGTTTCACCTGGAAAAATCACTGGTTTTTTTTTTTTTTTTTTTTTTAGCTTCCATACCACAGAAGAACAACTGTTTAAAGCTGTTTCTCTCCCCTCCCTCTCTTCCCCTCGGTCCTCACTTTTCAAAATTCAGACATCCCTCCTCACTCCCCAGGGTGCTTCTGGCCCCGCCTCACCCAGGAGCACCCAGACCGGGGGAAGCCCTGCGTCCCCTCCAGCCCCGCTGTCTCCTCCACAGGTGGAACCAGCTCCTGCTCTGCTGATCATGGTCAACAAGACCTTAAATTACTGGGGTCCCAGTTTTGAGGAGGACGTTATCAACATCAACGTGGGGGGTCTGAGGAGGCGGCTCAGCTCCAGCGCCCTCTCCAAGTTCCCCGACACGCGCCTGGGGCGCCTGCTGTCCTGCGACTCGGAGGAGTCCATCCTGCAGCTCTGCGATGACTACGACGTGAGCGCCAGGGAGTTCTACTTCGACAGAAACCCCGGCTTCTTCCTCTACGTCCTCCACTTCTACCAGACGGGGAAGCTGCACGTCATGGAGGAGCTGTGCGTCTTCTCCTTCTGCCAGGAGATCGAGTACTGGGGCATCAACGAGTTCTTCCTGGACTCCTGCTGCAGCTACCGCTACCACGAGCGCAAGCTGGAGAGCCGGCACCACAACTGGGATGAGGAGAGCGAGGTCAGCAGCGTGGACACGTCCCCCGATGAGATCTCTGACATCAACCACGACCTGCTGCGGTACAGCACCCTGCGCTGCGGCAACGCGCGCAAGCGGCTCTGGCTCACCATGGAGAACCCCGGCTACTCCATCCCCAGCAAACTCTTCAGCTTCGTGTCCATAAGCGTGGTGCTGGTTTCCATAGCCACCATGTGCATCCACAGCATGCCCGAGTACCAGGAGGTGGACGAGAACGGCAATGTGCTCGATGAGCCCATTCTGCACAAGCTGGAGTATTTCTGCATCTCCTGGTTCACCTTCGAAGTGTCTTCCCGCCTCCTGCTCTCCCCCAACCCCAGGAAGTTCTTCAAGCACCCGCTGAACCTGATTGACATTGTCTCGGTGCTGCCCTTCTACTTCACCCTCCTGGTGGACGTGACCATGGGCAGTGACTCAGAGCTGGGCAATCTGGGCAAGGTCGTGCAGGTCTTCCGTCTCATGAGGATATTCCGAGTGCTGAAGCTGGCTCGGCACTCCACTGGACTGAGGTCACTGGGGGCCACCTTGAAGGTAAACTGGCTCTCTATCTCTTTATCTACTCCTTTAGTCTCTGGGTAAGGAGACCTTTGGGTGGTGCCTGGCAAGCTTCCTTGGGGGGGTGGGCTGGGCTGCTGGTGTGTCTGGTAAAGCAAACAAGTGTGAGGAGCACTGCACGTGTCCCCTCCTCACACACGCTCAGCACGAACACCCATCCACCCTGTTTTGCTCCATGCAGAAATGTGCTTCCAGGGACTCAGCCATCCCACCGTGGCGTGAAGGCCTCATTGCACAGCACTGGAATGGACTCAGCCATGTGTGGGTGGATGGGGATGTCCCATCAGAAGCGAGTCTGTGCCTAGTTGGGCTGTAAACGACCTGCTGAGCAGGCACCAGGCCAGGCAGCAGCTGCTGGATCTGCCTGCACCAGTTGTTGTGGGTCAGAGCTGCTCCTATCCCTAGTCTGGGAGAAGGGGGAACCTCCTAAGACCAGGCTACCAGCTGACCTTTGGTGTCTGCCCATCTAGGGAGACATAGAGATCCTGGTCCAGGTGAGCTGACACTTGGATGCTCCCAGACTGAGGTTGGGACTGGCTCATGTGTAACCATGTGTGGCACAAAGCAGCAATAGGAAAGCAAAGGGTGAGCTGTAGGGCCCTGGACAACCAGCCCCAGGCAGAGTCTGTGCCCTCAGCACAGAGCCCTCAGCAGAGCCTGAGCTACCAGCAGCTGCCCCTCAGTGTGATGGAAAACTCTGCCTGTAGGGCTGGGGAAAGCTGGTCCCAGGACCACACTGTCCTTGGAAGGAAGGGTTGGATGAGGAGATGGTGAGACAGTGGAGGACCAGGACTCAGGCATGCTGGGAGGTGGCAGCCCTGCAGGTTTGGTGAGAGGGTGCACATCCTCCATAACATGCCCCAAGGCTGTGTTTCTCCAGACCCCCTCCACAGCACCCCAGCCTCTTTAGAAAGACCAAAGGCAGCTTGAAATCTCTCATGAAATCATCACCATCCTGGTGCTGCAGCCAGACCTCCATCACTGCAGCTCAGCAGGGTGGCACAGACCAGCCTCCACGTGGTTCTGCTCCTAACAGAGCCTGAAATTCAACCAAAGGGATGCTCTCCTCCCACTGCCTGGCATGGGACAGAGCTGCAGCTCCTGGTGCTGCTGCCTCTGCAGGGCCATCATAGGGATGAGAGGCTGGGGACACCCTGCTTTCACTGCTGCAGCAGTGGCAGAGCCAGCATGGAGTGTCCTGGCATCAGCAGGACTCGGCTGCCAGGGTTGGTCCCATTCCTGTGGCTGAGTCATGGAGAAAAGCAAACCTCGAGTGTGGCTGGTGTTGAGGATGGGCAGCAGGAAAGGTCTTCTGCCAGCTTCTGCTGTGAAGCAGGATCAGCCAAGCCCAGCACTAATCCTGCAGAGCCCACAGATCATCAAAATATTCCTGGCATCCTCAAAACCCTCAAAACAGGGTTCAGGGAGAGTTCTTTGAAATGAAGGTGCCTGAAGTCCTACCTGTGGGGTACTAACTCCCAAACACTCACCTTGCGAGAGCGCTGACAAGTGACAGACCCGTGTCAAAGCGCCGCTGAAATCTGCACAAACCTGCACGTGTCCGTGCTCCATCCGAGCGTGACCAACACGCTGCAGAACACCAGGGACTCAGGGGCTCATCTGCATATTATTAAGCAGCAGATGAGATCCGGGGAGTCGGCAGCGTCCCGGCTCCGGCGGCTGATTCACCCAGTGACGCGCTGGAAAGCGCCGCTTCCCGGGGACTCCGGAGCCAGCTGTAAATGGGGATGAGCGGAGACACAGATCTGACGCAGCAGCTTGGCATTGTGATTTACTGGGCACATAAATTACAACGTCTTGTTAATCATAATTTACTTCCTATTGCCAGAGCAGGAATCGGGAGCGGAGCGGTAAAGGCTGTTAACAGCCAGGAAGTGGGAGCGATGGCTCTGGCAAGCTGAGCGATTGTTCCCCTGCCACGAAAGTGCTAGCAGAGGGAATTCTGCCATTTGTGCATCATGAGCCCTGAACCATCCTCAGATTGCTTGAGGCCTGATCCAGGGTCTGTTTAATTTGAAGAGAGGCTTCCTACGTGTCTGTTCTCCCTCTGCAGTGCAGGACGTCCATTAAAACTATTGCAGCTCCGTGGGTGTGGGTTTGGAGTCTGTCTCCCACTGGCTGTCAATAGGTGTTGGGCCCTGGGTAATTACAGCACCGGCAGGGATCTACAGGAGCTGCTATCTGTCCCCTCAGGGGCCTAAATACACAAGCAGGTTGGAAGAGCTGGAGCTGCATGACCCTGGACAGCAGATGCTGCTGCTACCATGGGCCATCTCTGCTCAGTCTCCACACTGGTATCTCTGGCCAGGCTCAGGCTGGGGTCTTCCATTCCAGTTGTCTTGTGCTATACTGCAGGAAAGACGTGCATTCAGCAGGACCCTGGAGAGACTCCTGCCGGGGGAGCTTTTTGCTGGAGCCTTGTGTTACTGAGCATCGCCTCGCCAGGGCTGGCTACTTGCTAAACCTGCATCCCACCCGAACCCCAGCTGCAGCTGCCTCCCCCCTCAATCAGTGAGCAAACCATAAGTTTTGCAGATAAATGGCTGCAAATAGGTGGCAGCCAGTGCCAGCTGGGAGATTCCTGGAGCCTCCTTTTTGCTGCAAGCCCTGACCCTGCTTGTAAATTGAAGCAGCAGGAGCTATTGAGCTGCCTGACTTCCCCTTTGCCCTTCCCCTCCAACACATCCTAGGGCCAGAACCAATACTTTTAAAAAAATGTATGAGGTTATTTGGTGCTGCTGCCGCCCAGCTGGGACGTGCAGACCTGCTGTTAAGCTCCAGCCAGGAGCAGGTCTTTCATGGCCAAGTGATACATCCTTGAAACTCAGTGCCTCTGAGCTGTTCGTCCTCCTCGAGAGGCCCCCTCGGAGCTGCTCTAGGGCATTTGCCCTGTATCAGGTGAGGGAAGAGGAGGAAGAGGAGGAGGTGGTGGTTATTTCCCCACGGTATTCCTGGCTTTAACTGAGCAGCTTTTGCCAGCAGTCTAAACAAAGTCTCCTCAGTCCCTGACATGAATCCGCCTCCCTTAGGTCTTGTCTTGACCGCAGAAGCCTTTTCCCACATCTGTGCTATTTGCTTTGCTCACATTGTTTCCCTTAGTCATTATGTGGTCTCCAATAAAGCATTCTCTGCCTGTTAGGAGACTGGGAAAAAATCCCCACGATCAAAGCTCTGCTTTCTTTTCCCGAAATGATGAAGAGCAAGCTGGCAGATCAGTGGGCAGAAACATCCAAGAAATTCACTTGTGACAGTCAAAAAGTGCTTGGACAATGCTGGAGGATGGTGCTGGCAGTCTGTCCCCTGGAAGTTCCCTTCCCGGCATGACTTGCTACCTCATCCTGCAACTGCCCACTGCCTTTTCCCCCTGGGCTTCTGGCACAGGTTTATATTTTGCTCAGATATTAAGAATATCCAAAGAAAGATTGTGGCACAAAGGTTTTAGTTTGAAACCAGAGGAATGATGGCTTCTTCAAGGATCATTGCACACCTCTGCTGTCAGTCTGTCCCCCCAGGTCCTGCACACCCACCTGAGAGCTTGGCTCTGTTCCCACCAGGGCTTCCAGACTCCTCGGGCTGGGGCTCATCAAGCTGGGGATTGGAACACCCTGTTGGATGGGTGCTAAGACCAGCCCATGCTGACACTGGATGGATCCCTGCACTGACCAGATGACCAGGGCCGCTTGGATCCATGTCAGCTCTGAGGTTCACTGGGAGTCTCCCACGGAAGAGCAATAAAATCTGAAAGGAATGTAATTATCTCAGAAAAAAGTTTCTGCAGTAATACACACACGTGTGTAGCAAAGGGTTCCATGGATGCTGAGACTGCCAGGGGTGGTGGGATATAGCAGGGACCAGGACCCTGGGGCTCTGGCTGTGGGGTCCCCAGGGAGAGCTGAGCTGAGCCTCAGCAGAGGCCACATCTTCCCTGAGAGCACTGCCAGCGACTCGGGAAGGTACAAATTGCTTCTCTTAGCGGCTGCCTATTAGGTGGTTTCTGGGGACCTGCCAAATAAAAGGAAATGTGATAAATATTGTTAGCTGAGATCGGGTTGGAGTGAGTGCTGGAGGCAGGGGAGCAGCCTGTGCTGGGTATCCCTGGCTGGAGAGCACAGCCTTCCCTCCTGGCACTTGCAGGCTGGTGGAGTGCAGAGAGCTGGCTGTGGGTGCCAGGAGTGATTCCCGGTTGCACCACCCGCTCCAGGTGTGGGTCACCCACACACCTCCCAACGCGTCCCAGCCCGTCCCTACAGCGGGACATCCCATGGCAGAGGTGGGCAGGGGCGCTGAGATCCACACAGAGGTGTGCAGGGCTGTATTTGCACTGTGGCATCCCAGTGTCCTGGCTGGTGATGGGTGTGGTGGCTCCCACCGACCACTGCTCTGCTTTGCCTTCCAGCACAGCTACCGGGAGGTGGGGATCCTGCTGCTCTACCTGGCCGTGGGGGTCTCTGTCTTCTCTGGAGTGGCCTACACTGCCGAGAAGGAGGAAGACGTTGGCTTCGACACCATCCCAGCGTGCTGGTGGTGGGGCACGGTCAGCATGACCACCGTGGGCTACGGCGACGTGGTGCCCGTCACGGTGGCGGGGAAGCTGGCTGCCTCGGGCTGCATCCTGGGGGGCATCCTGGTCGTGGCACTGCCCATCACCATCATCTTCAACAAGTTCTCTCACTTCTACCGCAAGCAGAAGGCGCTGGAGGCGGCCGTGAGGAACAGCGGGAAGAAGGACCACGAGGAGGTGGAGAGCGTCTCCAGCCGCGACCGAGAGGACTCGGAGGCCCTGAGCGAGACCTCCCTGGACAGAGGCAGCCCCGACCGCCGTGGTCTGACCCCCGGTGCCCACCCCAGCCCCTGAGCCACGCTCCGTGGCGCTGGGGCCCGCAGGACCTGCTTGCTCACGGCGAGCACAGCACGGCTGCTGCACTGGGACACGGCAGAGGATCCGGGCTCTCCCTGTCCTGCACCACAGCTGGCATTGCCCCGGCCCTGCCAAGGACAGCAGGGGTTGGAGGAGATGCCCAGTGGGTGCTGGCTGCTTCCAGCCCCCGGGATGCGGTGACTGGGTCTGCCTGGATGTGTTTTAGCCTTCACCCTGCTCCCCCTGGCTGCAAATGGAGGCTGTGGTGCTGGACATACTCCCACCAAAAGGGGAGGGAGAAAAAAGAAATACAGGTGAGCCCTTACCAGGCACTGCCCCAGCTGGGTAGAGGGGGATTTCCCTCTGCCAGAAGGTTGTGTGTTGTCCAGGGTGAGGCTAAACAGCTCAAGGGTGAGGCAGACCCTGACCAAGTTGGCTGCCCTTGCAGGTCCTCTGCCAGGTCAGCATCAACTCCAGCCCCAGCCTTGTCCTACCCCCTGCTGGAAACAGCCTCAAAAGGCTCAACTGGTCCCCCAGCCATAAAGGAAAGGGGGCTAGAAGTGAGTCTGTATAAGGGGAGAGGTGGTGTCAGCTCAGGGTGAATCCCACTGTCCTCAGTCCCTGCAGTGGGGTTGACTGGACTTCACCTTCCTTCCAGCTGGGGTTTATCTGCTCGCCTGCACTGCCACTGCTGGGATCCCCGGGGATCTGGGGCTGGGGCATGGCACAGCCAGGAGCACTGCCCATGCAGGGGGGCACCAGCCAGGGATGACCAGGCCAAAGGGACGTTGTCCTCTGAGGCAGGAGCAGAGGAAGGGGATCAAGCTGGGGGAACTGAGGAGCCATCCCCAGTGGGGCTCTCCCCACAAGCCCTTCCCTCCACGGCGCTCCTATGCCATGGGAGCCCAGGGCCTGCAGCAGGCCATGGTGGGGTAGGAGACACAACCAAAGCCAGCTGGGTTTGGCACACAGCCTGTTCCCCCTCACCACAGCCCCAGCCTGGCTTCGTTCTGCCTCTTCCCTCCTTGCCTCAGGGCCAGGCAGGGGCAGGAGGGCTGTAAGGAGTGGGGGGTCATACTGCCCTGAGTGTCCTCGCTGTTCCCCAGGGAGCTCAGCTCCCCGGGGGATGATGCACTCACCTTCCCTCTGCCCGGAGGGGGCACCCCCATGTCCGTGGGACAGAGGAGACCTTGCACTGCTCCTCAGTGACCAAGCACCTCACAGCCGGGCAGGGAGGTCCGCCTGGAGCACCAGACTGCCCTCCTGCCTGGACCCCCAGCCCACCTGAGCACATTCAGGGCTGCTCCCAGCACAGCATTAATTCCCTATGGAGTCTTTCCTTGCCCCCATGGTTCTCTGTTTGGAAACTGTGCAGCTCCGTTGTGCACAGGGGAACACACCCAGCAACGCCTGTTCTGAGCAGGGGAAATGTGCATCCTGCAATCCCCAAATCAGCTCAAAACCACGTTGGTGGCTGCAGGATGACCCCAGGTACCTGGATCACGGGGTTTGCTGCTGGCTGTCCTGGCTGGGTGTCAGAACAGCCGCAGCTGCTGGTGCTGGATCTGCTGATCACGGGCAAGAAAAGCCAAACCAACGCCAGTGCAGGTCCAGCCCTTCTGAACCCCAGCGGGACTCGGGGAGGGTCCCCAAGGACCTGTGGTGTGGGATCGGAGGGTGTTCACGCTTCTGGCATCATCAAGTCTTCCAGTATCGATGGTTTGTGGTCTGCTCTGCGCTCAGTCCTGCTCTGAGCTGGGACTGGGGAGCGGCTCCGTCCGCTCCGACCGGCTCCCGCTGCACTGTTACTTGAAAAAAGGAAGGAGTTTCCCCTTCTCACCATAAATATTCCAGTAGCAAAATGTATTAAAATGTGAAGAGTAAATTACATCTATTAATGAAAAAGCATTATGCAAATAATTAGGAGCATGTAAATTAATTTTATATCTATGCATGGGATGCATACTGTATATTTTATTAAAGACCTCAGTGACCTGCTGTGGATGCTGGTTTCTGTTTTGTGGCAGCTGCACGTGCCCATGCTCATGCAGCCCATGGGCTGAGCTGGGGCTGGATCAGCAGTCTGGGGTGAGCAGGAGCTGCTCCCACAGCACTGCAGGTCCCTGTCAGCCAGCTCCAGCACCACCTCGGAGCACAGCGGAGATTCCACCTCATCCCTGCTCTGGGTGGTGAGTGACAGCTTGTCCTCGTGCTTGGACCACTGGTGTCATCCTGGCTGGAGCAGTTTGGATAACCCACCTCCTTGAGGCTCAAGGAAGGGGCATTCCTGGGTGCAAGGGGATGGGTTGGAGCTGGTGGGCTCTGGGAAAAGCCACACAGGGAGCCAGGCATCACAGCTGGGAGGGAGAGAATCCTGATGCTGGGTGTGGCCTCAGATGCTCTGAAATGAACGGGGTGTCTCTCTCTAGGCTGTTGCTCTGCAAGGGCTGGCTGGGGAGGGCAGGACTTACCACTGCTCTTCCTGTGTCAGGTGCATTCCTCTGCTGGGTGTGACAGGAGCCAGGGGTAAAAATAGAATTTAATCTCTATTCCTTTGAGACCTTTTCCATTAAAAAAATAAAAATCTACAAGCTGCTGATCTTTCCAAGGGAAAAGCTCCCCTGCCTTGGGGGCTGTAAGCAAGGCAGGACATCCTTCAGGCCCCCCTGGGGCAGCAGCTCTCGGAGGGGCTGCTGCAGAAGAGCTCCAAGCTCGGGTTTGGGAAAGCCACGAGGGATGTTTTCTTTTTTTAGCCTCCTGCACTCTGTTGAAGACATTAGGATTTGTATGGCTCTGAGTAACTGCACTAGGAAAATCCTCCCACTGCTGTGCAGGCAGATCTAGCAGAGCTGGAGTTGTGCAGAGCAGGGAAGAGCCGGGTGCAGGAAGGTGCCCAGCAGCAGTGGGTGATCACAGCCCACGCTCGCGCTGCAGAGACACGTCTGTGCAGCAACGGGGCTGCCAGGACGGGGCTGACTTACTATTTCTAAGGCAAGGAGGAAACTCGTGTTCTTTTGCTAATCCCTAATCAGTTTTCCTGAGTGGCTGCGTTTTCATTTGGTACAGTGGGTAAATCAATTACACACTTTATCAGGTTATTCCTACAAAGCTGCTTTCCACATTCACAAAATGACTGATGAAAGCACGACTCTCTTGCCTCCAGGGAATGGTGATTAAGGAGTGACCTTATTAAGCTGTTTAATGCAGCCGAGAATTAGACAACTCTCCTCAAAGAGACAAAGTAAACTTCATTACTTCTGTTTGAAACTTCTTTTCCTTTGCCAGCTCTAAGCACCGTGACTACCCTGAGCTTGTTCTGTGCACTCAGGAGATTTTAAAGGGTTTGATCTGTAGGAAGGGAAGACTCCTCACTGACAGCGTTCTGGGATCTCTGCTGCTCACAGGTTCCTACAGCCCTGCTGACCTCAGTAAAAATCCAAGCTTAGTGCCTGAGCACACTGCTTGACGTGTTAAATCAGTGTTACTGCTATCTGCTGAACTGTGTAAGGAGATCAGTAAAGACAAACAGTGCAGTAATTCTATTGTTTTGTTTTACAAAATAATGCTAAAACACTTCCTCCTGGTAGAGGTTTATCTGAACCACAGTTGTTAGCTTAGTTATAGGAAACACACAGTCTCAAGGCTTCCATTCTAAGTGCCTGAGAAAGCCAAAAGAACAGCCTTGAAGGCATGGAATTGAATTAACCAAATATGCCTAGACAGGTCACACCATTTCAGGGAATGAAAACCACAGGTCAGATGTGCAGGGAGGCACAAAACCAGTGATGTTCACATCATCTGCATGTTCACATCCAGACCAAGTCTGGTGAGAGCAGGGGGGGAAACCTGCCCCATGCCTTTTTCAAGACCATCCCCTCTGTGGTGAAGGAGTGATGGTCCAGAGCTTGTGAGCCCCTTGGGCTGAGGAAAGTCCACCCCACAGCTCAGCCACCTGATGCCTGTGCAGAGGTAAGAGGCTGCTGTGCTGCTCTCACCACTCAGGATGGGACTCAGGGACTCTGAGCTCCCTCCGCTTCTGTTGATTTGAACAGTGACAGCCTAGAGGGGAGCAGAACAGACTGTCCTTCAGAGCTGGAACTGAACTGTCTTAAACTTTATAAACACGTTGGCTACCTTCCTGGGCTCTTAAATTAAAGGACAATTAACTTTCAGTCTAGAAAGAGATGATGGTTGTTTCCCGGTTTGACCCTTCAAAATTTTGCCAGAGTGATTAGCTCAATGAAAAGCTGTCAGCGCTCGAGGCAGGGCTGTCAGCCAATGCTCAGAGCATTTATCCAAGCTCAGACTCCTCTGGCCTGTGCACAGGAGGAAATGGGACAAAATGAGGGGGTAGGAAATGAATAGCTGGGCATACAGGACACTGGCACAGCAGCCCCTGTCCTTCAGTATTGATTATTGTTAATAACTGCTGATCCTACAGGTTTAGTGGAGAGTTGACTTTTCCCTTTACTGGGGAGAAAAACCTGGCTAAACATCAGTCCCAGCTCACAGGTACCTGTCAGTGTTGGTTTTGTTCCTTATATGCAGTTAATATTTGTGCAGCAGGTGCAGTGCTGCAGCACATGAACACTCCCCTGGTATGGCAGCACTGGGAACACAACCCTCCCTTTGTTCTGGGGCTCCACAATATCCTGGTAACACTGCTGAGGATATGGGAGAGCTCCAGGCTTTCCCAGTTACTAGAAATGCCTGCAGCCTCCCTCCCTTTCACTTCCACGCTCCTTCCGAGCATTTAAAAGCTCACATCTACTTTGTTTCTTCCGGGATTGCTAACCAAAGCTGACTCCTGAATGAATTCTGTCTCTGCTCCCGTTAGTCATCCCTCCAGGACAGATTTAGTAACTGCTCAGGGAAACCACGTCGAAGCCAACAGTTCACCATTGGAAGGCAGCACCCACTCACTGTCAGCTTCATCTTTTTCTGAGCTAGAAAGCTCAAAGTGAGCCAGAATTGGGAGTGAGCCTCCAGCCTCACCTGTTGTGTAGGAAGGTGGATAAATTGATATGTACCTAGTCCCAAACCTGACTGCAGACTCAGGGAAGCTGCTGCAGAGACAGCAAGGGCCTACAGCAGAGTTCAGCATCCCCATTTGCCAGAGCACAACGTGGGGCAAATGACTCTCCTGCATGACTGGGGCTCCAGGCAGGGCTGCCTGTGCTCCCCACTGTGGGGAACTGCCTTTTCCAAAATATTTATCTGATGTGTTTACTGCCTGTGTTCCTGAAAGCTTGTACTCTCCTCCAGAATGTTGCATAACATTGGCTGACTAGAGGTACACCATGTTAAAACTCATCCTCATAAGCAATAATAAACCAAAGTATTTTAATGCACAAACATGAGTCACGACTCTACCCGATGCTTTCAGGTAGGGACAGTTTATTTGCCCCTTTGAACAAATAAGGCAAGATATTTGAGAAAGATCAAATAAAATCTCCTGTATCAAACTGAGAGGAATGCAATAAAAGTTACTATTTCATACATATACAAACTAAAGACCCAACACTATTATATACAAACAGCCAGATCTTACAAAATAGCATTTCAAGTCAGCAGTTTATGCCAGTGTCGCTAATTTCTTTGTTACAAAAAAGTTAAAGCTACAAACTTCACATTTGTAAGTCTCACATGACTGACATCATCAGTGTCTCTGGGTTTTAGAAGCAAAGAGAACAGTTTGTCCAGAACCCTTTCAGCAATGCAGATGGATTCAAGGAGCACACAAAGGTAGCTTCACAATTAAACAAGCTTTTTTGCTTAAAAACTTCGTCAGAACAGCCTTCCCTTATGTCACCAGCCTTGGTCTTAGTCTGGAGTGCTAAGAGTTCACTCTGAGGAGTGAACAGGTCCTGTCCTTCCAGACCCTCTACAAAGGGACCAAAAAAGGGAAATATTTTCTCTAACAGATTGAAAATCAGTGAAGAGAAAATAATTCCTCTGCATTACAGCTCTAAGTGCAAGAAACATCATTAAGTCTCAGCCACTGCAAGCATTTAAGAAAGGTTCAAAGACAGTTAAGCCATTGGACCAGTTTTACTTATTTTGGTTCATTTGCTATATTTTAAGACAATCGCGTCAGCAAAGCAGAGTATTTCAAGAGTGCTTACATTCGGTTACAGAAGTCACAGGTTGCATATTCTGTAAGTAGACACCACCCCGTGGTGTTTCACCTAAAACTTGGGGTTCTAATGCCCTCTGATCACTACAAAGTTACCTACACAGTGCAGAAGTAAAACTCCTCCCGGCAGAGCCCGTTTGATCCACGCCACACGCAGGCAGTGCACGGTTTACCATGTCACATGTCTGTGTGCCCATCACACCAGAGGTGCTGGGCCAGATCCATCCCAGTGACTAATACAAGATCCAGCACTGAGCAGAGAACTCCCTCCTAAGCTGGGGGAGTTTCTTTGATGCAAAGGATGCTCATGGATATTGCTCATAACAAAGACGAGACCAGGGCAAAGAGTATTGCACAGATTCCAATGAGCACGGTATGAGCCCTGATGTTTCCCAATACCT